GTCGTGTAGATTAGAACACTGTTAAATTCTATCTAGCTGTTATTTGATATGCAGTTAATAAGGCATTTTACTTGGCCAGCAGTTAAATGGGGGGTTCTAAAAAGTGGTCTTGGATTAAGGCCCATGTCGTGATTGTCTGCCACAGGCAATTACAGCTGATTGGGCCTATTCTGTAGCAAGGAGCAATAAACAATCATGTTCAAAGAGCAATATTCCATAGCGACAACTATATTTCATATTACCATTGCAGATGACTTAGGATTGGTTGTTATGGGTTACTACAGTTTTCACAATACCAATGGACCACCCTATTAAATATGTTTGTGATAGTAGAGGATAAGAGATGATTATGATAATACTGGACATACTGTATATAGCATGTAAGATATTGATGATAGTTGCTGTATGTAAACAGCAATAATGGAAGATCATAAGTATTATAATATTGATACATTTTATAGGCTATACGTTTACTATAAAGGAGGATCTAATAACAACAAAGGGTAATTGTGGTTCTCATGATGGTTTAAATGTGTGGTGTTTATGAAAGATAACATCTCCTTATGCAAATATTATCTCATACTAACTTGCCTAGATTGGCCCCTGCACCAGTACTGGCCGTACCCCCCTGATGGCAGCCCTGCCAGCACTCTCCAATCTCTAGATTTTTGATGGTTATCATCTGTATGATCAGGGTGGTATATAACATAGTATTATAACAATGTGATGTGGGTACATGAAATGATTTCTCCCTCTTCTTACCTTTGGGTCGTTTATAATGCTCCAGTGCTTTTTCTTTGTTGCCAGGCTCCTCCTCATTAATGCAGGACAGATTCTCCCCAAAAGATTCCCATTGTATTTCTTCCACTCTATAATATAGCAATATAAGATATATGATTTATCTGATGGTTCAGAGATTAATCCCTGACAAAACATATTCTATTAATGTATTATGTGTTTAAAACGAGCAAAAACAGACCTGTTTCTTGAAGGGTAGAAAGGAAGTATAAGGCTACATTCACACTCCTGAGGCAGGAATCCAAAATGCCCCTTTAACATGCAACCCCTGTCCTATGTTCAAGTTAAAGACCGGATGACAGAAGCCGCATCTCTAATCAGTAGTCCACATGTAATCGCCATGATAGATGCGCCCAGAGACAGTGATATAGTCCAAACTGCATGTAATCATATCACAAACGTTTACATGCGGAGTGCCGCTTACAGATGCAGCCACTGTTTCCTGGTGATTAACTTAAATGGGTTACAGGGGCCGCATCTAAAAGCAAGGTTTGGGATTCCTGCTGCAGGAATCCAAAATTGCCCCATTTGAATGGGGCCTAATTGTTAAAGAAGGGTAAAACAGCACTGGGCAGGGACAGACATAGGATTTGTACAAGGGCCTTCTAAAACGTATTTTTCTCTTTTTACTAGATGTGCGTCATATAGGAGCTAAGCCCCCCCCCCCCCTACCACTGTCGTGTAGATTAGAACACTGTTAAATTCTATCTAGCTGTTATTTGATATGCAGTTAATAAGGCATTTTACTTGGCCAGCAGTTAAATGGGGGGTTCTAAAAAGTGGTCTTGGATTAAGGCCCATGTCGTGATTGTCTGCCACAGGCAATTACAGCTGATTGGGCCTATTCTGTAGCAAGGAGCAATAAACAATCATGTTCAAAGAGCAATATTCCATAGCGACAACTATATTTCATATTACCATTGCAGATGACTTAGGATTGGTTGTTATGGGTTACTACAGTTTTCACAATACCAATGGACCACCCTATTAAATATGTTTGTGATAGTAGAGGATAAGAGATGATTATGATAATACTGGACATACTGTATATAGCATGTAAGATATTGATGATAGTTGCTGTATGTAAACAGCAATAATGGAAGATCATAAGTATTATAATATTGATACATTTTATAGGCTATACGTTTACTATAAAGGAGGATCTAATAACAACAAAGGGTAATTGTGGTTCTCATGATGGTTTAAATGTGTGGTGTTTATGAAAGATAACATCTCCTTATGCAAATATTATCTCATACTAACTTGCCTAGATTTGTGATACGTTTATTTACGGTAGAGTACTTTTCAACCCTTCAACTTCCTATCACTAGCTGAGCAAGTTAAATACCTGTAATGGAGATGTGTTTATTCCATAAACAGAGAAGAATTGGCTGTGCCCAGAAGTCTTTTTTAGTTTTAAAATCGTCCACAAGCCTCTGATATTTCTTGGTCTCTCTTGTGAGACCTACGGGCTTAATTTCCCAGCTTGTCCACATGCCATAACCTTTATGAGTGGGATTCACTTCTTTGTATGATTTATTTTATATTCTATATTTATTAGTAAAATATGTTGTTGTTTTTTCTGAGAGACATCACACTCTGGTATGTACTACATACCAGAGTATGATGTCTCTGGAAAAAAAAAAGTGCATGGCTATAGGACTGCTATAGGATATGGATAGGACTGCTATAGGATATGGATATGCTATAGGATATGGCTATAGGGGGAAGCGATACAATTGGAAACCTCACTGCTGGAGTCTGCAAAACTCTATATAGAAAGTCACTGATTAATCTATGCCACCATAGACCACCTCAAGCTAAACTACTGGTTTTATGTGGACAGATCTGTCAACATTATACTGGTCAAATCATATGAGTAATTATCCACCATTTTAAGTGGCCAACGACATGAGATCCAGCAAATTGGTTCCAAGTCCCGGTCATCAGGAGTCTTTTGGAATTATCAGCAATGTTGTGGCCACACAGGGACATATGGGTATAGATGATTATAATCAACCATCATTAACAGCCTGTCCAATATTCAGCAAATTCATCACTGGCCATCACTGTCATTTCCTTCCTTTCTCACCCCTTGTCTAGTTTTGCCCAAGCGGCTCACTTACATTCTTACATTATATTTATTTTTACCTAAAGCACCATCTTTCATCTGGTTTTCCATTAGGTTTTAATCCCACTTTAATCTTTTTCCCAGACCTATGTTTTTTCCTAAGGCGTGTAGGCAGAAACTTCTCAATATCCAGGGTTGTAGCCGCTCTCTGTGAAATAACATTAAAAAACAAAACAAAAAAAACTTAGCTTTTTTCATCAACATACAGTATAATATACATTTACAAATATACAAAATACAACTTTATTAATGGTGGCAAAATCAATATAAAATCTTACAGATCTTATCAACTGATTTTGGAACAATGCACCCATATATCTGACTCAACATCTCTACTACTCACTTTTTAAGTAGATGATTGTAAGCTCCTCGAGGGCAGGGACTGATGTAAATATGCAGCTATGTAAAGCGCTGTGTAAACTGCCAGCGCTATATATATACCTGTAATAATTAAATCAATAAATATATGTATTGTTCTCCTCTTTGGACAACATGTCCTTACACCTAAACTCTTTTTTTTTTTATGTAGTTCCAGCAGGCTAGATTCAACCTATTTGTCCTGCAGACCACAGTCATTAGGACTTAAAGTGAGGGAAAATCCAAACTTGTGAGTTGCCACCAGAATAGGAATAGAGAGGACATCTACCCATGGGGACACTGTTCCACATAGAACTGTCTTACCCTCATATTGGAGAGATTACTTTTCACATCCTGTTGAGTCTACTGGACAGAAATTAAGAAAGAGCTCCCCAATTCAAGATGGCAAACAAAAACTGGACAGAGGTTTTACCCTTTACCTACTCTATCCAAAACTAAAAACATGTACTTTCAAGGATAAGAACACTTTTAAAAAAGTGCATGTATCCTGTTTGCCACCTTCTCTGTGCTGGCTGAGCCTACGTACGGTAGATATGTATAAACTTATGTGGGGCCCTCTCCCGGAGATTCTTGGGGGGGTTGTCCCATAGAAGTCTATGAGGATGTAAAGAAGATTTACTGCAAATTATGAAAACACTGTAGGACCCCAATAGGTTAAGGGTTAATGTGCAACCAGGGAATGGGCACTTTAGGTGAGGGGGAAAACAGGATAAGTGCGCGTTGTTTGAAAGTGCATTTATCCCTTAAGGACTGTAGGGCTGGCTATAACCATAGGTGTGCAGCGGGGGTTTTATGGTATCACAATTGCTGATTACAGAAAAGACTAAATAGAAAAAAAAATGCAATTACAGGAGAAATTTATTTAATTAGATTAATTCCCCTAAAAGCAGTAATGTGATTATCTGAAAAACTGTACTGATATGATGTGTTTGCTTACAGGAAACAATACAGTAATCATAAATTAATCTACTAACCAAGTATATTTACCACTAAAAATCTCCTGACAAGTCTCGAGTACCAGACCTCACTGGGAAAGTCAAGTGTAGCCTGGGAAGCATTATGCCCCCCCCCCTTTCCCATTGCACCCTGTTCTTAAAATTCTGTTTTCTGGCTAATGCTCTTGATTGCAGTTTGGCTCTGTGCCTTCTACTCTAACATTTTGTAGTCATACTGTGGTGGACTATGTTAGTCAGGCACCCCGGGCTGTGCAGACTTGCGAAGTGGATGTCTGCACAGAGACACCACAAAGCTGCAAGATGGCGAAAGGAAAATTCTTGACATCCCTTTTTTTCCTCTGTAGATTGCACCGAGTTCCCTCCCACCTCAGAGTCACTAATACCAAAAGCAGAAGTGATATAAAAGACAGTCAGACTGGAAGCAGACAATAGTTATTGTGGGTTGGTTACAAAAGTTTAGAATTATTAACTATATTACGGTATCATATTAAGTGGCTGTAATTGATAAGTAAACTTATAGCTGTGTTTGAAATCAACCCACCTGTAGTTTCCATACACTCTTGCTTTCACTAGAGACTTTACTGACCGTTTCACTCATCAAAGCAATGAGCATGTTCAGGAGGAGAACGTAGGTAAGAATCACATACAAGATCAGCAGGAACATGAAAAAGTGCTTAAACTTCAGGTTTTCATTGAACTCCAGGTCTCCCATGCCAATAGTAAACTTGAAGAGCTCCAGGGTAGCAATGTAAAGACCTGAATATGAGGTTCCTGCCTCGCTTGGTTCAGCATCAGTGCTATTATCAGCCTTCTGAGGAGTTTCCCCAATAAGTGTTACCAAAGCTGCAAAAAATACATGTATAAATCTTCATATACATTTAAAATTATACAAACATGTTAAATATTCAACAGTGAAAGCATGCACAATGAGTGGTAAAGATTACATCTGAAGACCTCCCTCCCCTCTGAGAAAGAATTAGATGCCACAATTTATTAAGTGTAACTAAACCCAACATGCAAAATCTACGATATGCATGCTTCATTATTATTAAACCTGTTGTGTGCTTTTTGTAATTGCATCTTTAATTGCCTGCAATGGTGATCCTGCCAGAAATAGCCTTCTGTAGCATGGCCGTAACCTCATTGTGGGACTTCCATCTCTTTGATTATCATCCCAAAGACAATTCCTCTAGTGATACAGATTTTTTTTTTTTCATAGCTGTTCCATAGAGGCTTCCAAACTTAATCTACATAAATTGTATCTAAATGTGCTGTATTCCTGAAATGCTATTTCTCCTGCAAAACTCTGTGTAGCCAGGTAGCTTTGGGCCCCATAGCAGTCACATACTCTGCTATGGCTATAGTTACACCCGTGCTCTGTAGGACTTCCTGTGATAGGGTGATTCTCACTCACTGTGTTGTACTGCATGTGGTATGCCACCGTTTAGAACTACAAGGCGACATGCAGATGCACAGTGTGCCTGCACGTTCAGCCTGATTCCTGGCACAGAGATCCACTGATTTGATACCTTACCTTCTTCTGAAACACCCCTTTGCTCCGAGCCATGCACTGGAGGGTATGGCGTGCACACAAACGCAAAGCCGAAAGCCCAAACCTCTGTGATGTGCAAAGCTTCAAGACATACACATAACATACATTTCTACTGATAGCCCCCACCCTCCCAATACAATTGGCAGCATTTCAAGTGCCCAGGTCTCCCAGGAGACATGTCACCCATGCTTCCCAGATTTATTGGAAACCTGGCCAAGGGAAGGGTTTTTTTTACTTAACATATCAATTGCTTTTGTATTTAGAGGAGAGGCTGTAATTTTCCATCTTTTCAGTCCTGGTGACATTGGTCAAATAGAGAGCGGTAGACAGAATAATCTGTCAGGGGTCCTAAACCCTCACAATTCTATCCAAATCTAAACAAAAACATCTTTGGCTTTAGATACACTTGAACTAAAATAGTAACTTCACCATGACCATTTACAACATACTGAGACGAGGAAATGGACAGCCATGGGCCTTGTTGTTGTTTTTTTTTTTATTTATTTCCACAGGTAATTATAGACATAGGGACTTTTTTATTTATAAATATATCTTGCCCTAGACTACAAAGACCAAGAGGGACATCTACTGGTTAATATAAGCAGTAAGAAATAAATTGCAAGGCATTCCCCTTTAAAGAATAAAGAAATTACATTAACATGAGCGTTTCCTTACGAAATTCTGTGAATGTATTTATAGATAGAACCAGTATATAATAAATACCTGCAGCAAACCCAAAGAGGAAGACTAGGTAGACAAAAAGGAAGCGAAGCATGTCACGCAGGATGGTCTGTAAAACAATGATAATATTTGTATTATTCTTTTTCTCCATATTGCAAGCATTTCTTGGCATTTGTGATTACTATTTTTTTTATTTATATGTATACACATTTCAAAAAAAAAAAATTTAAAACATTTTTAAAAAATGCCACCTCCCTATCAGCATAGGGCACCAGGCATACATGCTGGTGTACACATAGTCCTGGGCATAGTGCTAGTGTACCCATACTGATCACCAGCTTGCATGTTTTCCGCACTGGAGAGTGCTTTATGCTGGACACTTATGCCAAAGCTGCCAAAGGTGGCATAACTGCCCTCTAGTGGTGCAGCTTCTGCCACCATGTGACCTATAAGGACAGCAAGCATAATTCTACAATCAGAGGGACAGGTTGACACTGAATTCCTGAATGCTGAAAGCAAAACTTTCATTTATCTACAGCAGGTATATCCTGGTCTGAGTTTTCTTGTTATCTAGCTTTTGAATTTCAAACATTTCAATACACAATCATTTACGATGTCCAAAGTTTGTCTGCCTTCTGGTGGAAAGTACATACAATTCTTATTCTGCAGTATGTTACTTTCTTTTTTTTCATGCTAAAAATACCATATTTTAGAATTAGAATTGTATGTAGTTTCCACCAGAGGGCAGACAAACTTTGGAAATTGTAAATGATTGTGTATTCAAATGTTTGAAATGTAAAAACTATTTAAAAAATGTGCTTTGGAACAAAAAGAATAAGCTTATTACACTGATGTGTATGAAATTGGAATTTTATTTTCTTGGTACCACATGTCTTTGTTTAAAGTATTATGTTACCAATGTTACCAAAAATAAAAAGAGATTCAGTAAAGTCAATATCATACATAATGATTCATATATAAAGTACATAAAGCATTGACCATTATAGCTTTGTCTGTATTTTCTGTTATTATAACTTTTTTAAACAAGAAAATAAAGAAATTACATTTTTTTTAGTATTTTAATACATTATTTAAAATACCTACTTCCCAGCCCAGGCCGTTCTAAATGGATCTCACCAATGTAGTTTCTGAGGACATGATAGACTTTGGTGTCAAATGTATAGGACTTGATTTAGAGCTCGTTCACACAATGTCGGTTGTGATCGGCAGTGCACTGCAAAGAATTCTTCCTCTTAGAATATTCCTCTATCAAATCAACCATAAAGAATGCACAAAGCAAGAGTAGGCCTTAGACATCATCCTGGTAAAAAATTCAGTGTATACCGTACTTCCTACCTTGTCTGTCCTTTTCCTGCTAATGAGAACCTATTTGAATACTGAGGACTCAGGCAGCTACCAGCAGGTGCAAACAGTATTTACTGCAATATACAATATATGGCCAAAAGTCTGAGGACCGCTGACCATTGCACCTATTCGAGCTTGTTGAACATTCCATTCTAAAACCAGGGGCAGTAATATGGATCTGACCGACTTTGTGGCTATAAAAGACTCCAATCTTCTGGGAAGGCTTCCCACCAAATTTTGAAGTGTGTCTGTGGGAATCTGTGTCCATTCAGCCAAAAAGAGCATTTTTACGTCAGATACTGATGTAAGAAGAGAAGATCTGGTTTGCAATCAGCATTCTAATTCATCCCAGTGGTTGAGGTCAGGAATCTGTGAAGGCCAGTCACGTTCTTTTACACCACCGGGTTGTATGTACAAAGCCAGCTCCACAAAGACTAGGGGGTTGATTTATAAAGCGTTCGCATAGAGAATAGCTCTGAAAACAAGATTTGCAGCGTATTATGGCAACTACATGGAGCCAAGGAGCATAGGAAATTCCTAAGCTCCTCGGTTACATCTAGTGGCCATAATGCGCTGCAAATCTCATTGGTAGAGATGTTCACTATGTGAATGCTTTATAAATCAACTCCATAGTCTTAATGGGCCTGGCTTTGTACATACAACCCTGTGGCATGGAAGAACGTGACTGGCCTTCTGGACCTAGCTTTATACATAGTGGGAAGTGCACAATTGCCTAAAATTTATTTTTATTCCAAAGCCTTAAAGGAGAACTATGAGGTGAGTGCTTTTCACGCACCTCATAGTTCTAGCCGACCTGTGACAATGAGACTGTCACAGGTCGGCTCAGTAGATCGGGAGGTGAGCGAACACATACCGGCGTTCGCTCACCTCTCAATCCTGTCACAGCTCTCTGCCGTGACAGGGGAGGGGCTGGATTCCCCCCTCCCCGCTCCAATCCGCCAGCGCTGACTGGCGGAATAGACGGGGGAGGGGGCGGGTACAGCTGGCTCTGCCTCTAGATAGGCAGAGCCAGCTGTCACTCACGCAGCTGGGCAGATCCAGACATAATTGTCAGGATCCGCTTCAGCTGCGGCGTCTCAGTATACCGCGAGCAGTAGCTTGCGGTATACTGCGGTGTCTCAGTATACCGTGAGCTGTAGCACGCGGTATACTGAGCTTGGGGTGACGGGGGGACGCTAGTTTGTGTCCTCCCATTACCCTAAGGAGAACTATGGGGAAAAGCCTTAACCCCATAGTTCTCCTTTAATAGTACTTTTAACTGGAAAGACTTGAATGTGGTTGTACAGATAGGTAGGTGTGATGTGCATCCACCAACTTTTCGTTACATAATGTATTTGCACATATTTACAGCAAGGCCATACAACTGTTTATTGGGTTTGTCTGGCCAAATCTGAAGCTTTCCTTTATTTTACCTTGTGTATAGTGACATCTGAGTGTATTAGCAAAGAGACAGGTCTCTATTTTTTGACATTTACAGTTATGCTACAATGTTGCTTGCTAAAAAGGGAACAAACGAGAATTAAAAAGAAAAAGAAAAAAGGACTGACCTTCTGAATCATGACACTGTAAATTCCGGTCTGCTGGAATCCTCGAGTGTAATACAGCATATTCACCCAGCCAAGAACCAGTGCAAACACCAACAGGGCAACATAGAGTTCACTGCCTGCCAGGTAGACAACACCACTGCTCAGGACAATAGCGGCCTGCAAAAAGCTGTGAAAATGAACAAATCTTTTAAGTTACAAAGAAAAAATGGTACATCATAAAAATATTTGTTAACTATTTTAACAACCTGCTGATTTGGTCATCAGGAGAGCCAATTTACAATGCTAGTGCTATTAAAACAACCTTCTTCTACTATCCACAGACAACAGAATGTGTTGTAATCAGAGGTGTAACTAGAACATTCAGGGCCCCGATGCAAGAAACCATGAAGGGCCCCCCACCGCCATGGCACCGCATGGTTAACAGGAAGGCTGCCGAGGTCCCCTGCAAGCGTGGGACCTCAGGCAGCCCCTTGTTAAAAATTTTAGTGCCAGTGTTCTGTCGAGAACGCTGACCCAGTAACTGTGCTTGCGTACAGACGGGATTAACGAGGAAACCACCAAGTATTAGTTTTTATTGGTTAAATGTGTTAATAATATACCATCCATGGAAATGAATGACGGATAGAATATTATTAATGGTCACAATTAACGATCTAAACAAGATACTTTGTGAATAAATCTCTGTTTCCCTCAATAACACTGGTCTGTGCACAAGCGCAGATGCTGAAGTCGACAAATTCGATTACGTCGGCGTTCTCGACAGAACACCGTTATCTGCGTTTAGTATCGGGGCATTTTTACTTGTGAAAATGCCCAGTATTAACACATAGTTAGAGCTATTCTGCATTGCTGTATAATCATCATACCGTAATGCAGAATACCACCAGCCATGCGGGACTTATAATAAAAGTCACCTATGCAGAATACCACCAGCATCCCCCCCCCCCCACACTATAATGCATTGCTGATACTTGTAGTCCTACATAGTTGGAGCTATTCTGCATTACTGTATAGTCATCATACAGCAATGCCGAATACCACCAGCTATGCTGGACTACATGTCCCAGCAGTACATTATAATAAAAGTCAGCACTACAGAATCCCACTACACCAGCAACCCGCCCCCCCACACACACACACACTTCCCCGCCGCGCCACTACCCGCCCCACTTCCCACTCCAGGCTTACCTTCCCTCTCTTGCAGGGCCCTCCTCCTTGTCTCCATGGACAGCGGGTGGGGCTAAGGGGAGAGGGTCCTCACACAGTAGAATGTGCTGCCCGGCGGTGCCTGCAGCACATTCTGTGTGACCAGTTCCCCCCCAAGTGGCGGAAAGCCAGGGCCCGGTCGCAATTGCGACAGCTGCGACCCTGGTAGTTCTGCCAGTTGTTGTAATCAATATAATAAGCTACTATAGTCTAAGATGTTCTCTCTGTTAATATATGATTGAAAGATATCTATCATTCAAATGAATGTATAGTCATAGAGCATTTTTCCTTTTTTTAATTATATACTGCACATTCATAGGGGGCAGCTATGATTGCTACTTGCACATTCAGGCTCTGCTTCCTGTTTTTCAGTTCTACATAATAGTTCTGCTTTAATGTTTTTTCTCTCAATTGGTCAGACAACGGATTAACTCTCTATGTTTCTGATAAAACTCTGACAGATATGATCGTGAGTGTAAGTAAATACAGATTGGGCCTGTGCTTACTCTAGGGGCTACTTTACACATCGCTATATTGAATGCATAAAAAAAAATAGAAGATCAACAATTCAAAAATGTAAAGGGTTTAAGGTAAGCATAACTTAATATAATCATATAATAATATAATATAATCATGTCATAACTCAAATATCATCCTATTGAAATGACTATACTTTTCCTTTAACACGTAGTGCAATATAACCTTACAATACAAAAAAAATGTTGCCGGTCAGTGATATCACCTTGCTCTCCAGGCAAACAGCTGGATACATAATGCACATATTGTGCAGGAGGCTGATACCACTTTCTGCTAAAATGATTTGAATTGGTTTTCACATAAAAAGCATAGTAGGGCACATTAGTAAACAATCCATATACTGTCAATAAAGGGAGGTAACAAGTGGTTGTGGAGTAACACATCCAAGAAGTCATCTTGGGAGAGCCTGTGTCTAATGCTGACACATGATGCCGGGAACATATATATAGTCCCTTTTCTGCTTCACAGGGGGTGCCTGGGATTCATAGGCAGGGACATAGACTTACTTTGTGAAGCACAGGTAGGCCTAGCATTATGGGCAGGTTCCTGGGGAGAAGGGACAAATTAGGGGCTTGCATAAAAACCCATGGTTAAAGGCTGGTGTCCGAGGAGAGGGCCTCGATAGTTAGCCCAGCATTCTGATCCAACTGACCATCCTCCAAGGAAGAGTCACCATTAAGGATATCCCACAGGAGTATAGGCTTAAGGAAGCATGCCTCGAGCAGCCTCCTGTATGTAAGCCCTGGATTCTTGCTTTGCATTAGACAATGTTATCACAAGTGCTTTTTTGTGTGGAGGCCAATTTAAAGAAGAATTCAGATTTGAGGCGTTCCCTCATCACCTTTTGAACCCATTACCACCCAGTAAGCAACCACCACAGGATGTTCTCACACAAGTGTATGCAGCAGTGTGGCTCCTAGCCCTGCCAACCCCCCCCCCCTTCTTCCAGTTTGAGTGCTACTGTGCATAGAAATGAAAGGAGGCCAATATCAAGACAGAGTCAAGTATGTAAAATTATATTACATTACATTGAATAATTACTTTTACACAGCTGCAATAAATGGGTTTTTATATATATGCATGCAGTTCAGTTTTAAACTTATTTTGAATGCAAAGAAGGTAAAAGACAATCAGTATACTGAAAAAAGTCAGTGTCCCCTGAACTTAAGCAAGACAAAGGTCTTTAAAATTTTACATTTAAAATTACCGTATTTGCCGGCGTATAAGACCGGTTTTGAGACCTTAAAACATCCCCCGAAAATCGGTGGTCGTCTTATACGCCGGGTACATACGTAAGGATACGGTATACTGTATGTAGCTTCGGCTACATACAGTATACCGCGCTGAGACAATCACGGCAGGCTTTGTATTAATGAATACAAAGCCTGTATTCATTAATACAAAGTCTGCCGTGATTGGCTCGGCACTGAGTCAATCACGGCAGGCTTTGTATTAATGAATACAAACCCTGTATTAATTAATACAAAGCCTGCCGTGATTGACTCAGCTGAAGACGGAGGACACAGCGGGGATCGTGGACAAGGTAAGAGACTGTAATCCCGAGTGTGGCTCGGGGTTACCGCTTATGGTACTGAAAATTAACCCCGAGTCACACTCGGGAATACCGCCATGGATGTTAGTGGGTGCATTTAAACATTATTTTGGGCTATACTCGTCTTATCAGACGAGTATAGCCCAAAACCTATATTTTAACACACAAAGTAGGGGTCGTCTTATACGCCGAGTCGTCTTATACGACGGCAAATAAGGTAGTACACTTGGGGGGATATTTATAAAGCAATAAATCTGACAGTCACCAAACATTTACTGCAGGTGAATCTTCCTTGTGCATGTGTTTTCAATGACAGTTACTGATTCACCACTAGTGAATTTTAATGAAACTCACTTTCACTTGTCTATAAATGTGTCCCTTATTGTCAGTATGTATTTATTTCTTTTTGTGCTTGTTATATTTCATACAGACTAACAAATAATAATCGAGACCATAATGATAGCATCAAATAAATACATTTAGAACTTACAAAAGGATTTCAAAGTACCCGTCCATTATTAAAATTTGTAAAGAAGGACGCCTCTTCAAAAAATATATTATCTGCAAAGAATAAGAAGATTGTAATCCATTGAATAACATTGTTATTTACATCATCTTTACGCTGAGTGTAAGCAAAGCAAAGCCTAATGTGACCTAAGTCTGTGATAACACTTCTCAAATGACAGAGAAACAGGCAGAGATGATGGGTATATATGCGACGTTGCTTGGTATCCCTGTGAATGTTGAAAGGACTAATGCTTTAAAAGTATATTTATGTTATAAGAAAGGCTGCAGACTTAGATAAGGACTGGACTGTTCTTTATAACACATCAATTGTCACAGGCTTAATGTAAAGCAATAAATATTTCAATCAAAGTAATTTTATTGTACAAACCTGACATATTAGTATATAAAGTCCACCAAACATGATGATGACTTCTCCAAGTACACGCAAGTTGTCTTTGTTTGTCCCTTCCAGTGGGAATGGGGGCTTTAAAAATTAAATTGAATGTGTTAAAAATGAGAAGAACTATCCATCATATTGCATATTGAAAAGAAAGTCATATAAACATAAACCTTCCTAACACTACACTTCTAGTGCATCTGCACCTTGGAAGATTTCTATTCATCTTTGTGTTGCACTTTGCATAACACACACAAAAAGTACTAAAATGCACACATAAGCAAATCTGCACATTATAAGTGAAGGTAAAATGGCACATGCATATAGATTAGAAATCAGCCATAAGTTTAGTTCCGAATTGAAATTCGTACAAATTTCTGTAAATTCGGACATTCGGGTGCATCCAAATTTCCGAATGACAGAAATAACTAATCCAAACGTATCCAAATGTTTGATAACGAAATACGGATATATCCAAATGTAATTTGGAATGAAACACGGAAGTGAGTGAGCTGTCATTTACCGCTCTCTGGCTTCTCTCTTTGTTGACATTGTGGACTTGTATCTTAGGTGTTGGGGTCCTCCTTAAAATTCCTGCCACACTTTTTTGGGGTTTTTTTTTACATCCTAACATTCCTACCAGAAGGGTCTGGTATGAATTGAGGGGGGGGGGGGGGG